ACCTTTCTGGTGGCCTGACACTCCCTGTGGCCACTGCCTTCATCCACCAGGTGCCCAGGAGTTTGTCCTTGTAGAGCTGTGGGTGCAGAGGCTGGCGGGGTGCCCCTGTGACGGTGACCCTCTCCTGTCCTAGAACAGCACATCTGAGAGCACGGAGGAGCGAGCTCGCGCTGGATTCAAGTCGCATGTTGGAGTCCTACTCTCCGGCAGTGGAAGGACATGCCAGAGGACGGCCTTCCTCCCCTCCGGGGGCTGCCAGGGCCCAGGCAGCCCTGCAGGAACACGGGGCCCGCCGGTGGTGTGGAAGCACAGGCTTGTTAGCGCTGCCCTCCCCAGGGATGGCAGCTCAGCCTGCCACCAGTGGTCTTGTGCCTTGGTGAACGTTGAGATCTCTCCCTTGTTTGGACACCCATCCCCTGGGGGAAGACAGGCGAGAACGTGTCGTCTGAGAGTGTGTGTTGCTGTTCCTGAGCCTGGCACTCTAGCTCTGGTGCCTACGATTATTTTGGTCCTCGGCATATTTCTGCTGTTTGTGGAGCCTGGCTGGCAGCGTCTGTCCCGGCCGGCTGGGCTGGGCTGGGCCGGCCAGAGGCAGCGGCAGGTTTCCAAATAGGAATGTGGAGGTGGGGGCGGGCGGCGGGGGGGGGGGGGGCGGGCGGCGGGGGGCGGGGCTCCTATGGGTTGCCATATGCAGGGTGCCTCCACCCTGCTGTCCAGCCCTGTCCTGAGCCTGACAGGCTCCGCTTGATCCTGCTGCCTCTCTCGGGGCGTTCCCACCTGGGTGTGTTCCCAACTCCACGTGGAGGCGCCCGAGCAGAACCTGCCACGATGGGCCGTCCTGGAGTGCTCTGCATCCTCAGAGCTGACCCTGCCGGGGGGGGGGGGGGGCGGGGGGGGCGGGGCCCAGGGGGCACTTGGCCGCATGGCTGGCTTCGTCCCCTGAAGTTCATTGCCGGCCGCTGTGGATGACGCCAGGGTCGGGGGGATGCAGTGATTTCGCCCTTCCTGCAGCCTGCCCTAGCCACAGGCTGGGTTCAGATGGGGGTGGGCAGGCCTTGAAGGACCTTGTGAGGGCCCACTTAGACCGAGCCCCAAGGTCTGAGCGGCACCTCAGGTTCCCTCACAGTAGAAAGTGGCAGTCTCCTGCAGAGTGCGGCCCAGCTTGGGGCATGGAAGTGCTCCTCGCCCGCAAGTTGGTGCAGTCTGAGCCTGAGCTGTGGAAGTGTTCCTCACCCGCAAGCCAGGGCAGTCTGAGCCTGAGCTGGTGAAGTGCTCCTCGCTCACAAGCCAGGGCTGTCTGAGCCTGAGCCGTGGAAGTGCTCCTCGCCCGCAAGCCGGGACTCTCTGAGCCTGAGTCTGTGGAAGTGCTCCTCGCCCTCAAGCCGGGCCTGTCCGAGCCTGAGCCGTGGAAGTACTCCTCGCCCGCAAGCCGGTGCTGTCCGAGCCTGAGCTGTGGAAGTGCTCCTCACCCGCAAGCCTGGGGCTGTCTGAGCCTGAGCCGTGGAAGTGCTCCTCGCCCGCAAGCCGGGACTCTCTGAGCCTGAGTTTGTGGAAGTGCTCCTCGCCCTCAAGCCGGGCCTGTCTGAGCCTGAGCCGTGGAAGTGCTCCTCACCCGCAAACCGGGGGCTGTCTGAGCCTGAGCCATGGAAGTGCTCCTCGCCCGCAAGCTGGGGCTGTCTGAGCCTGAGCTGGTGGAAGCCATGGGCGTCAGGCCTGTGGCCTGCACTTGCTTTGTGTTCCAGCACCTCACTCCCTCCCGGGGAGGATGAGGGCTGCTCTGGGCCTGGGCGGCTGCACCCACTTAGCTTGTCAGGCCTTGACCCCTGGCGGAGGCCTCCCAAATGGGCTGAGCTCCGGTAACCTCTTCGGTCTCCTGCTGTCTGCCGTGGCGCTGTGTGAGTGGTCTGTCGTAGGTGAGCTTTAGTGCTTCCTTTGTGGTCCTGGTCTCCTCGGGGAAGCCGGCTCCCGTTCTTGGTCTCTTACTGTGCTACTGAGGAATCCTGGGGGTTCCCGTGGGCTGCGCTCACTTGGGGCGGCCACACAGGTGTTGGGTCTGTCCGGGGGTTTGAGTCAGCCTTCCCTTTGTGTTGGCTCTTGGTTTGCAGGGTGCCTGTCCTGTGGGACTCTTGTGTCTCGGGGTGAACTGCAGGGGAAATGGGGCAGCCCCTCTATGCCGAGAGAGGCTGCTTCTGTGTGGGACTGGCCCCGCCATGGGTGGGTGGGGCGATGGGGGCTAGTTGGGGCTTGAGGAACTTGGGGAACAGCCAGCGGGTTCATCCCACAGAAAGGCTGGTGCTGGTGTGAACACGGCGTGAGTCACACGGCTCACTCCATCTTGGCCGCGCAGGGAGGAGGGTCTGGGCCTTTTCTGCACTCTGTCCCAGGTCTCTGGATGGCTGGAGGGGAAGCCAGCCAGGCTCCTGTGGGAGGGGAGGGCGGAGGAGAAGAGGGGCTTCCAGCAGCCCCTCAGCTACTGGGACTTGGCCTTGCCAACTCTGGAAAATGCCTGTGGGGCCTAACTACACAGTGTCTCCTGTCACGGGCCGCCTCAGGGTTTGGCATGGCCCTTTAGATGTGCGGCATGGTGTGGGAGGCCTGACAGCTCATCATGAGAGGCGGTTTTCCTCCTCGGCCGTCCAGAGCCGATCCAGTGCTTGCTCAACACTTCAGCGATCCCTAAAAGTAAACAGAGATGGAAGATGGAAGCAACTGCTTCAGAAGACAGAGTTTCACTAGGATGGTGAGCTGGTAATACAGATACAGGACTGTGTGTATTTACTTACTTTACAGGAAAATGAGGGAGGGTTAGCTTGTGCAAGGCCCAGCTTCCATCCATTCGCAAAGTGGCTCCAACCAGACGGGACGCAGGATGGGAGTGGCAGCTAGCGGCGTGGTAGCACGTGCAGTCCAGACAGACTGAAGATAGAACTGGGCAGGAAAGTGTGGTAGGCGAGTCTGAGAAAATGCGTTGCTGGGGCTGGGTGGGTACACATGTCCAGGCTCTCCTGTGCCCTCCAAGGTAACCGCTTGTCCCTGCCCTCCTCCTGAACCTCTGGTCTCACTGAGCTCCTGGAGTGCGACTCCTGTCTCTGTCCCCCCCACCCCGCCCTCCTCACACAGCTGTGCCTCCGTCCTCGCCTCTGGTGTTCTGGGGAGCACCTTGCCACATCAGCACTTTCGTGTTGGGGCTGCTGAGGTTTCGTCCCGTGACAGAATTACAACATTCAGCAAGCGGCTTGTGAACCGGAGCACACTGGTGCCACACCGTGGCTGTGGGATCACAAGTCACAGGTGCACCCACCTAAGACACCAGCGATGCTGCCTGGGCCAGTGCCAGGCATTGGAGCCGAGAGCCTGCCTGTCACCAGCCCCACGCGGGCCCTGGCCTGTCACGCTGGACAGAGGGTCGTAGTAGCCGGCATACACACTGTTCCTTATGACCAGATTCATCTCCCTCTGAGCTGTATGCTCCCCTTTCTCTCCAAGGTGCGTCCTTTTAAATTTGTTCGTGTAATTTGTGGTGATAGAAGTTACTGCTTGGGTGTATCTTACGCTTCTGGTTTTCTCTTGGTTTTTGATGGTACTGGATTCCAGGCGGGCACTCTCCTACTTGATCTATGCCCCCAGCACTTTCTGTTGGTTTCTATTTTGCTTTTAAGACAATCTCATTACTGTTTTGCCTGGGCTGGCCTCAGTCTTGTGAATCTCCTGTCTGCCTCCTGAGGAACTGTGGTTATAGAGATGTGTCACCTTGCCTGATTCTTCTCGATTTTGGTTTGGTTTTTCATTTACTAGGATCTCCCACTTAGTTGAGACTGGCTTTGAACTGTGATCCTCCTCTTCTTGAGTGCTGGGATGACATGCGCCACCAAGCCTGGTGTATACACATACACGTGTATACCTGTGTGTACACCGCCGTGCGCTCACTGAGGGCCCTACACAGGTCTTCGCTGCCGAGGGTGTTCTGTTCTGGCTTTCCCATCAGTGCACCTGAACTCAGAGTGCATCTGTGCTGTCAAGGCAGTTGCTCTACCACACGCCCACTAGAGCAGAGTGCCTTCACCCACTCCTGGTACCGAGCAACCTCCCACAGCAGACGGTCGCACAGGGAGGCCCGCTCCGCCCTCACTGCAGGGCTGGGGGGGGGGTGGGCTCTGCTCCACCAGCTCCTCTTTACTCTCTGGACTGAGGGCCACCCCCCGGTCCTGCTGTCCAGCTAAGCTGGGCCGGGAGGTGCCACAGCACAGAGGAGGCCTGGCCATTCCCGGGCGGTGGGGCAGAGGCCGCTCCCTGCTGCCTACGACCTGCGCCTGGCCCCATGCCTCGGGCTTTCTCCAGCCCCGCCCCCTGTGCTGGCCGTGCTAGCGGCCACCTGAGTCTGCGTGAGGTCCCGGGAGAGAGGTCTTCCCTACCAAAGCCTGTCTGCTCTGCAGAGCAGTACTGCCTGGAGATGGCTGCCTTGAATCCAGGCCAGAGCCGGCTGCGGGTAGTGCTGGCCGTGCCAGACCATGGGCGGCGCTCTACCCCTGGCGTTACCGGCGGTGGGGGCTGTGTTGCTGCTTTGGCCCGGCTGCTGCTCTGTCTCTCTGTACTTGTCCAGGTTGTGTCCTCTTGGTCCTTCAGGCAGGGTCTCTTCCGTAGCGGGGTCTCTTCAGCTCTGCCATCCCTTAGGTGTGGGCCTGAGGCCGCCCTGAGGCTGTGAGGTCCCGGTGTCCAGCGGGCCCAGCATACACCTTGGTGGTGACAAGAGTGGAGGCCCAGCTCTGCTCATCCTCCCGACGCGCCGGCAGGACTGCGTCCCCAGGGCTCCGCCAAGCCTGCGGCAGCCCCGGGCCTAAATTGGCTGCCACCTTGCTGCTGCGTGCCTGAAGTAGCCGGCACCGTCAGAACTGCCCGGCCTTGCCCACGGGGCCCAGCACAGCCTTGGCTGTGGGCTGGTGTCCTTCAGAGCAGCAGCTCTATCTGGATGCTCACTTCTCACTTGTGTGCTCTCTCCTCAGGTTCGGAGGCAAAGGTCATTTTGCCTAAGAAGGAGAAACTGAGGCTGCGGCGTGAACGATGGCTGCAGAGTAAGTTTGTGCCCTCATCTGCAGGGCAGCTGTGCTAGCCGCTCTCATCCACAGGCCACGGTTCCCTCCGGGGGCCATCGGTCCTGGCCCTAGTTCACGGGCGCCCTGACAAAGGCCACGCTTGGTGGCGGCTCTCTGCTGGGGAGGACTCGGTACCACCGGTGGCCTGGGTGGCCTGTTTCCCAGCGTGGGCAGCACAGCCCGGCCCACCAGCTGAGCCTTGGCAAGGCCTGCGCTTCCTCCTCCCTTGCAGACCAAAGCAGCTGGTTTTCTGTCCCTTTGGATTAAAAGGGCCGGGTTTTTGCCCCCAAGGTGAGATTCTTTTGTGTATACTGATACTGAGGTTGAACTCAGTCTTGCATTCTCTCTTGGCTTTTTATGCTCATGGCCCGCACTATTCCACATGAGCCACACTTTAGATCAAGTTTTTTTTTTTTGCTAGTTAGTTGGTGATGGGGGTCTCAAGGACTTTGCTGCCTGTTATTTTCAAACCATGATCCTTAGATCTCAGCCTCCTAAGTAGCCAGGATTAAAGATGTGAGCCACGGGTACCCCTGGGAGAGTTTTTAATTACAGAGGTGGTGTGCAGGTCTGGAAAGGTAGACAGCCCTTCCGGGTCAGCCGAGTGCCTGGCAAGGGCCGTGGCCCTCCTGCCTAAAGCTGAGCTGTGCCCCAGGCTTGGAGCCGATCAGGTTCTGGCTGAATGCCTCTCCTCCCACCCCTTTTATTTTGGAACATGCGTTATTTTTTATAGTGCTAAGTATTTGCTGATTTTTAAAAAAGATTTTGTGTTTACATTGAACATAATTTTGTTATTGTTCTTTTTAGGGTGCTTCTGCTGACTCTGAAATTACTTTGTAACATTTCCATCTTAATGTTCTCACATGTTGAAATGTAACTTGTATTATATTTTGTCTTGATGACTAAACAAAATGTTAATTTGTTTTTGTTTTTATGGTACTGAGTTTGAACTCAGAGCCTTGGGCTTGCTAAAGTAAATACTCTACCACTTGAGCCACACACCTGGCTCCTTTTGCTTTAATTTGTTTTCGGATAAATCTTGAGTTTATGCCTTGGCTGACCTTGGGCAGTAATCATCTCAAATCTTTCTTTTCTTTCTTTTTTTTTTTTTTTTTTTTGTTGGTTGTGAGGCTTGAACTCTGGGCCTGCGCACTGTCCCTCTGCTCTTCAGCTCAAGGCTAGTGCTGTACCATTTGAGCCACAATGCCACTTCCCATTTTCTGGTGGTTCATTGGAGATAAGAGTCTCAAGGACTTTTCTTGCCCAAGCTGGCTTTACACCATGATCCTTAGATCTCAGCCCCCTGAGTAACAAAGATTATAGGTGTGAGCCACTGGTACCTGGCCCAAATCTTGCTTTCTGGGAGATTAAAGACATGGGTACCACTCCAGCACCAAAGGATATGTTTTGGAGACAGACCTCAGAGATAAAGTGTCCATTTCTTCCATGGTGATTACTTCCTGTTCTCTGTCAGATGTGGGTTTTTTTTTTTTCCGATGTTTCCTAAGAAATGGTTACCTCATTTCCTTTTTACTATTCCTAGCGTGGGGTTGTGTGAAGTATTTTCTGTGAGACAGATCTCAGAAGTAAGTGGGTGGTGGCTGGTCAGCCCTGATGTTTCTGAGGTGTAATTCTTTGGGGTGCCTTAATTCCGGCATCCAGTCCTGCCTCCTGTCCCCTCCAAGCATCCGTCTACCCGTCTCCGCCTTGGCTAGCCTCCTGTCCCCTTCGCGCATCCGAGCGCCCGTCTCCGCCTTGGCTAGCCTCCTGTCCCCTTCGCGCATCCGAGCGCCCGTCTCCGCCTTGGCTAGCCTCCTGTCCCCTCCAAGCATCCGTCTACCCGTCTCCGCCTTGGCTAGCCTCCTGTGCCCTCCAAGCATCCGTCTACCCGTCTCCGCCTTGGCTAGCCTCCTGTCCCCTCCGAGCATCCGAGCGCCCGTCTCCACCTTGGCTAGCCTCCTGTCCCCTCCGAGCATCCGTCTACCCGTCTCCACCTTGGCTAGCCTCCTGTCCCCTTCGCGCATCCGAGCGCCCGTCTCCGCCTTGGCTAGCCTCCTGTCCCCTTCGCGCATCCGAGCGCCCGTCTCCGCCTTGGCTAGCCTCCTGTCCCCTTCGCGCATCTGAGCTCCCGTCTCCACCTTGGCTAGCCAGCCTTGTGCGCTGCTTTCTCATAGTTGTCCTCTCCCCACCCCATTTCTTGCTAGATGAATTAAATTTTACCTTTTCGAGTTCTAGTTCTATCGACTTTAATGCTCAGTCTTACTCTCTTACTTCTGTCTTCCTGGCTCTCTATTGTGGCTCTCTAGGTTTGTTGTGTTGTCATGTTTTCTTGAGCATTGAGTGCTGCCGTCACCTGCCCTCGATCAGCTTTAGCTGCGTGTGCCGCTAACACTGTTTCCTTACCAGGAAGGGCCCTCTCTCCCGTCCTGTCCGTCCATCACACTTGTGCATTCCAGAATAGATTTCAGACACCAGCACACTTCCCCCCAAGTAATTTGGCTAGGGGTGAGTTTGTTTGTGGGCCCTTGTTTCCTTTTCCTTTTGGAGGTTGTTTGTGTCCAGTGAGTAGTGGTTTCTGACGGTGTCAGCTGCCCGAGCCGCTCGGCGGGGGTGACTGTCACTCACGGTAGAGCCCCCTCCGCGTGGGTGCACAGCGCTGCCTGCCAGCTCACGCCGGGCAGCAACCCGTCTCCTCTGATGCACACTGGCCTCACCTATTAGGCTCTCGCAAACTAGGCTGTGTGAACACTTCTCTCTCTGTGGCCATGTTTTCTTTCCTCTTTGTGTAAGTACTTAGGAATGGAACTCTGGTCATAGGGAAGGCGTGTGTTTAGTTTTATAAGCAGCTGCCAGACATTGCTAAAGCGGTTGTGCATTTGTGCCCCTGCGAGGTGTGTGTGAGTTCTTGTGGATGGTTGCTGGCTGCAGTCCTGCCGCTGGGGGCCCAGGGCTGGTACCTCGAGGGCACTGCTGGCGGGTGCCACGCGCTTCCTGGCCCCTTGGCTGCCTCTTCAGTGGAGGTCACTTGCTAAGGCTTTTTGCCTCTTTTCCCCTCATTTCAGAGAATCCCAGCCCTGTGCTGTGCAGGTATTCCCTGCACACCGTGACTTTTTTTTTTTTAAGTCACAGGAGTTTAATTTTGAGAAGTCTGTTTCTTAAATGGTGATGGTGTATGCACTGTTTAAGAAAGCCTTGCCTACTCCTAAATCATGGAGATAGTCCCTTGTTTCCTTCTGCACTTGTAGTTCTGCTTTTATCTTTGGTCTGTGGCCAGTCCTGACTGCCGGCCTCCATACTGATGCAGGTCCTCTGTAGTGTGGCACACCTTTGTTCTGGCTGTTTGTGCTTCATCCGGTATTGTGCTGCTGATGGTATAGGTCTGCTTCTTGCCTTTTCTGTCCCATTGACCAGTGCCTTTTTTTTTTCTTCTGTCAGTCATGGGCCTGAACGCTGGGCCTGGGCGCTGTCCCTCAGCTCTTCAGCCCAAGGCTAGCATTCTACCACTTGAGCCACAGCGCCACTTCTGGCTTTTTCTGCTTATGTGGTGCTGAGGAATCGAACCCATGGCCTCATGCATGCGAGGCAAGCACTCTACCACTGAGCCACCTTCCCTGGTCAGAGTCTTGAACGTGAGGCTTCCTCCCAAGTGTGGAAGTGGCAGGGTAAGTCCTCCATCTTGGCCCTCTGCCCTGAGGTTACCCTGAGCATCTTCAGTTCTTAAAGTTTCCATCAGTTTTTCCACCAGCTCACCAGTTTCTTTTTTGGCTCATGAATGGGATTGTGTTGAATCTATAGATCAATTTCAGAATTACCATCTTAACACATGAAGATGGTATAGATCACTTTTTTTTTTTGGCCAGTCCTGGGGCTTGAACTCAGGGCCTGGGCACTGTCCGTGAGCTGCTTTTGCTCAAGGCTAGCGCTCTACTACTTGAGCCACAGTGCTACTTCCGGCTTTTTTTATTTATGTGGTGCTGAGGAATTGAACCCAGGGCCTCGTGCATGCTTGGCAAGCGCTCTACCACTGAGCCGCCTTCCCAGCCCCATATATCACTGTTGTTATTATTCTAGAATCGGGGCTAGAACTCAGGGCCCGGGCACTGTCCCTAGCTCTCGCTAGGGTTCAACAGCTCCATTTCTGGCTCTTGCTGGTGGATTGGGGTGAGTCCCCAGGCTGTCCTGCCAGGGCGGCTTGAGCTGGACTCTCTGCTCTCAGCCTGCTGTGTAATATGACAGTGTGAGTCTTTGACACCCAGCTTTATTTTAGTTGAGTTTTTTCATTTCAGCATTGGTGTTGTTTTGAGCCTGGAAGGGTTTCTTCTGGACAAACCTGTTGGTATTTTGGTCTACATGGTTTCCAGCTCTCTTGTATATTCAGAACAGCTGATCTGTAAATAATACTTGTGCATCTTGTGATATTGCTGTTAGATCTTACGTAGATCTAATTGTTTCTTTGACTACTAGGACCTCAGTGTTCCTGTGTGCTCTGGGCCTGTCCGCTACCTCCTCAGTGCCCAGCTCTATCTGGGCACAGTCCTTCTGCCCCTGGGTATGTGCGCCCAAGATGCTGGTCCTTGAAATTCACACAGACTCACTGGCTTCCCTACCCAGTGTTTGAGGATGGCATGTAGTGCCCCTGCTGCTGCCTAGTCCCTCCATTGGCATGGCCAAACGTGGACGCTGCCGGTGTGCAGTAGCACCCAGAGGTTGTATTTCAGTTAGCATTCTCTTTTCCTTGATTCCGAAAGGGCTGTGCTGTCTGGGCCTGGGCACTGCTTCAAACGTAATTAATCTTCAGGTGTTGTGGGGGGAGGGGCAGCCACAGGTCTGCTGCCGCTTTCCTCTAACTCCTCTGCTGTCTTATTTTGGTTCTTCACAATTTTCTTTGTGATTCATTGGTTTGGCTGAGAGCTCTGTTTATTTTTAGTCGGTCCTGGGGCTTGAACTCTGGGCCTGGGCGCTGTCCCTGAGCTCTTTTGCTCAAGGCTAGCACTCTTCCACCTGAGCCACAGTGCCACTTCCAGTTTTCTGGTGTTTAAGTGGAGATAAGATCCTCACGGCCTTGCCTGCCCAGTCTGATTGTGAACTGTGACCCTTAGCTCCCCGCCTCCCGAGAACCTGGGATCAGAGGTGTGAGCCGCCTGCAGCTGCTGGCAAGCCAGGGAACGTTCTGCCTTTTCTGGTTGGCGGTGGCATTGGGATTTCAGCTCCAAGCCTGACACTTGCTGGGTAGGCTCTGTCTCTCGACCACATCCCCATCTCTTTCTTGCTTTTTCCTTGGTCTAGCCTGGGACTGTGGTCCTTCCGTGTATGTCCCCCACTTAACTGGGATTACAGGCTTGAATAAACATTCTGGCTTGTTGGTTGGGATGGGGTCCTGAGGACTTTCTGCTGGGGCAGTCCCTGTGATCCTTCCTGTCTCCTGTAGCTGTGATGGCAGCATACGCCGTGGCATCGGCTTGATGAGGTGGCCGGGCTAGCCTGTGGTCTCAGTTCTGCCATTTCTTCCTCTCACCTGGCATTACACCTGGCTGTTTAGACTTTTTCTGTCAGTACCAGGACTTGAACTCAGGACTTGGGTACTGTCCTTTAGTTTTTCTCCCAAGGTTGGCACTACCACAGCGCCACTTCTGGTTTTTTACTGGCTAATTGAAGAGTCTCATGGACTTTACTGCTGATCCTCAGATCTCAGACTCCTGAGTAGCTAGGATTACAGGTATGAGCTTGATTTTAGCCATTCTTTTTGGTCTTGGGTCTTGAACTCTGGGCCTGGGCGCTGTCCCTCAGCTCTTCAGCTCAAGGCGAGTGCGCTACCACTTGAGCCACAGCACCACTTCTGGTTTTCATTGGAGATGAGTCACATGGACTTACCTGCCCAGGCTGGCTTTGAACCCCAATCCTCAGATCTCGGCCTCCTGAATAGCTAGGATTACAGGCGTGAGCTACCAATGCCTGGCGTTTTTAGCCATTCTTAAGCATTGATTTAAAAAAATGATGTGTGTGTATGCACGTGCCTGCGTGCGCGCGTGCTTGTGATTGATTGATTTAGAATTAGTCTCAGGTTTGGTTTAGAATTCTGTTGCAATACAGGATCCACTGGGAATAGGTAAACCCCTGCTTCCTCTGGGGCCACTCAGACGTGGCGGTGGGCCACCCACCCACCCCGACCCAGGCCTGTTTCTTCTCTGAGTTTCTGAGCACTGAGTGGCCGGTGGAGCGTCCTGAGATTACGCTTGAGTTCATAACCAGGGGCTGAGAATTGCTAGGAAATGGGATGCGTACTTGAAGGGCTGTAACCTGTGGCACAGCGGGATTATCGCACCTGTGTCACGTCCGGGGACAGGCTTCCTTCCCCCTGCCCCTCCTGTGTCCTGCCTCTTGCCTGTGAGGAAGCTGGCCTCGGGCCTCCAGCCCACCTCCCCACCCTCGAGCGCTCTTGCTCTTTGGGGAGATGAAGAAGTGCTAGTCAATTGTCACGGTCCAGGCAGGGCCGACCCGGGTGGGTGGAAGCGAGCTCTCTGTTCTCGGGAGGCCTCCCCAGGGTGGGCCGATGTGGCTCGAGAGGTTGGTTATAGCCACCTGGGAGGCCCGGTGGTGCCTGGGCGGGCACTGGGCTCAGAGGCGCCCTCCTGTGGCGGTGTTGGCTCTGCCCAGGGCTGCTCATGGGAGACCCAGGGCTTTGCCCTGCTCTGAGGACCTGGAAGAGCAAGGTGCTGTTCGCTCACCATGAGCCTCACAGTGTTTGACACTGAATTCCCAGTCTGAGTCAGTACTTTCTTGGGTGGAAATGGACCCAGGGCTGTGGCCATGCCCTGCAGTCCCTTCTCCATTATGGAAGCCGTGGCTTCCCCCTCTGAAAGCCCAGCCCCCGCCCCTGGACTGTGTGACCCGCCACCCACTCTGCCCGGTGGCCGTCTACTCTCCCACGTCAGTAGTCCCGTGGAGGTGCCCTGTGGTCTGATTGGTGGGGACCGAGACTGGTGTCCAGTGCGTGACACGCCGTGTGAGCCAGGACCCCCTTGAGCTGCCGAGCCGGCCCCTGGAGCCGGAAGCTTCCTGGGAGCCGCAGCTCCATCGCAGTGTCAGCCTGTAATTAAAGCATGCCTCTGTGATTAAGGACAGAAAAGAACTGGAGCCAGCCGCCCACCCCCAGGTCTCCCGGGGCGGAGCGCAGGTGACAGCGGAGCTGTGGGGAGGAGGGGGGCTGGCCGGGCCTGTGGCACCAGGTCCACGCCTCCTCCATCAGCTGTCGCTGCTGGCCTGCGGCCTCAGGGTCATGTATCTGGGACTTGGCATTTGCTTCTGTCTCTGACCTGTCTCATCTGCCTTAGAAATTGAAGCCATAAAGTTGGCTGAGAAGAAGCTGAGAGAAGAGCGGAAACGCAGGGCCACGGTGGTCGTGGGGGACCTGCACCCCCTGAGGGATGCCCTGCCTGAGCTGCAGGAACTGGAGGCTGGCGGCCGGCGACCAACCGGAAGGTGAGTGTCGGGCGCAGTCCAGCTCTCCCAGAGTCGCGCTCAGACCTGGGTCTGGAAGGACGGTGGGGGGGGGAGCAGGGCCTGCGGGAGTCCGCAGCCAGCGCGGTGGCCTGTGTGCCACGGGAGCCCTGCTGGCAGGAGCGTGTGCTGGCCGGGGAAGCTCCCCGTCTCCCTCTTCCGTTGGCTTTGCCTTGGACCGGCCCCACTGCCGTGCCTTCGCCGGGCTTTGATCCTGTCCCCAGGGCCTTTGCCGGGCCTGCACCTGTTCTTTCAGCCCTTGCCTTCCCCCCCGGCTCCCAGCAGAGCTGAGTCCCGCGGGGCCGTGTCGGGACTCAGTGGAGCCCGCTGTTGTGGGGTGGCTCGTGGGTCTGGGCCGGCCCGTGCTGAAGCACCCGGCCTGCGCTCTGTCAGCGCTGCCGGACCTGCCCCGTGTATTCCTGTCATTTCTAATTTTAAATTGGTTCTCCCACTGCCTCTCCAACTGAGAAGAAAGCGGGGGCCGAGGCCGAGCCCCCCGCCTTCATGGGCTGGCACTGCAGAGCCGATGGCCGCCGCTGGTCAGACCTCGGCAGGCAGAGCCAGCGCACACACTCCGCGCCTGGTTCTTGGACAAAAATGTGACCCGGTCAAGGGTCCTTTCCCTCCTTTCAGTTTCTCATCTGAAAAATGTGCTCAGGGTGCCCAGGAGGGAGGGAGCTGCACAAACAGAGGAATGTGCCGGCGTCCAGGCGGCCGGGGCTGCGCTGGGGTTTTGGTTCCTGGGTGGAAGGGCTCCACCGACCCCCAAGGCCTCAGTGTCCCCAAAGCCTCAGGACGCCCGAGCCACAGTGTGGCCTCTCTGGACAGCTGTCTGGTACATGTCACGAGAGAGCAGGTTTAGATTTACTGGAAAGTGGCAGAAATGTGGTACATTAGTGTGGTACGTCTGCACCGCTAGGGGACAGTGCCCATCCGTAAGCAATCACAGATCGAAAGCCACACCAATGAAAGCCCACACGTCACAGTTCTTCAGTTTCCTAGTGTCCCCCCGACCTAGGACCCCCTCGGAGCCCCCGGACTCCAGGCCTCACCCAGCTCCTCTCTGAGCTCCTCCCAGGCACGTAACCCTGCTCCCGTCTCCCCAAGCCCGCTCCCTGGAGTTGCTTACACTTTCCTCCGTGTTCTGTTTCAGTTGTGTTTAACTTTGTTTTGGCAGTATTGGGTTTGAACTGTGAGCCTCACGCTTGCTAGCCAGGTGCTGTACCACTCAAGACACACCTGCAGGCCGTTCTGACTTGGATAAGGTCTTACTGTATGCTCAGAACATTCTGGATCCCGTATGCTCTCCTTGTGGCTGAGGTGGCAGGTGTGGACCACAGGATCCAGCTTTTATCAATTGGGATAGGGTCTTGGAAGCCTTTTGCTCAGGCTGGCTTTGAACCACCACCATCTCAGTACTTTTCTGAATCTAGCTGCTTATTTTTTTTTTTTTTTTGGCAGTACTAGGATTTGAGCTCAAGGTCTACTGGTGGCTAGACACACGCTCTGTTGCCTTACCCACATGTTCAGTCCGTTTTACTGTTTTGTTCTCCAGATAGGGTCTCATGCTTTTGCCCGGCCAGTTTTGGACTGCGGTCCTCCTGTACTGCGTAGTACATGCTGCTGGCATCACGGGTACACACAGCTTGCTTTGAGATAGTATTTTGGAGACTTTCCCAGGATTCCATTCACCAGCCACCGGGCCCTGCCCGAGTCCTGCACCTATGCAGCCGCCCCTCCACAGACGCGGGTTCAGGATGTCTTTTGGAGGATGCAGAGCTTGCAGGAGGAATGTCACAGGGACCGGGCTCCATTTTCACGACACTGTACCAGGCACACACATGCCGCTGGCCAGCTTGCACTCTGGAGGCTGCCCTACACCGAGTGGAGACGTGGTCACTGCTCTCTGGAACGTCCCTGGCCTCCATGCTGTCTGGAAGGAAGGGGCCCTGCAGGCCCACCCCTAGGGGAGGGAGCCAGGCCGCCCTTTCTCAGACAGACCCACCCACCCACCTCACTGCAGAGGTGCTGTGGGATCCCGCTGGAGCGGGAGCTCTGTTTATTTACAGTGGTTCATTTAAGCCTCGGGAGTCGTGACGTTTATTTAAAGATGCTTTGGGCTGTCATCCAGCATTACTTTATTTTGCTGGTGAAGCTGTCCCGCCTGGGCCGCTGGCAGCTGCTTGTGTTGCTGCTGGGTGGCTCTGAAGAGCGGCCTCCTCTCACTTTGCAGGCGGCAGGTGCTCTGGGCTCACCTTGGGAAGCTCCTGGCCAGTCCTGGAAGCGGCTCTTTCTCAGGGGAGCCCTGGCTTGCCCGGACAGCAGTGTCCGGAGCTGGGCACTGGTCCCCTGGGGCTGCTGGTGTCACGCAGCGCTCGGGCCGCGTGGCGTCAATGCAGGTGCGGCCCTTGGCCACTCTGAGCGCCTCCTGACAGCTCTCTTGAAGGGCTTGTCTGCTGTTTGTACGCAGAGGGCACGGGTTAAAATCTGGGAGGAAGGGGACACGGGCCGTGTGCGGGGTCTGGGCAGGGCTGCCCACGCAGCCGGGGGCTCTGCCCTCGCTCTACACTCCATGCTGCCCGTCCCCAGGCCGGGTCCCTGTGGACGAAGCCCAGGTGCGTCCGCCTGGGGCTGCCCTTCCCCGGGGCCTGCACGCTTCTCAGGGCAGGAGGGCCGCCAGAGGGCGCCTGAGACTCCGCTTACCTGGTTCTGGGGTTTTTAGCGTCCTTATTCACCTGGAAGGTTCCTTGTCAGCTTCACACATGTTCACAACGTATTTCTTCACCGGTGTCTCCGGCTCCAGTGCCGTGGCGTGCACGGCCTGCGGTCCGGCCCACCACTCAGCTTGCCCTCTCCAGGCCCGAGGCGGGGCCAGGGACCGGAAGCCCAAGGTCTGAGCTGACCAGCATGTGTCCACAGAGCCTCCACGGCCACCCACGGTGTCCCCGACACCGTCCCTGGGCTCCATCCTGTGGTGGCCAGTGGGAGGTTTGGTTCTCTGGGTAGTGGACGGCCCCCTGCCCAGTGGGCTGTGACTGCTTCCAGTGGATGGGATGTGAAGCCCCCACCCAGCCCACGCTGGGCCTTCAGCACGCGACACCCCACCCAGAGGCCTCCACCCAGAGAGCGACCCTGGGCGACAGTCTGTGTGGCCCGGGGGTCGCTCGGTGGTGGTCTCTGGGTTTCTGAAGGCAGTGGGCATGGGCCAGGCAGGCTGAGGTGGGGGGGGGCTTTCCCAGGCCACCAGGCCCCCCGTGGGCAGCAATCCACCGTAGCGCTGTCTGAGAAGACGTGTCTCACTCGCAGCGTAAGGGCCGGGGAAGGGATGAGGCCTCTTGGAGCTTCAGCAGAGGTGTTGGCCCCGGGTTTGGTGGGGCTGTGGAAGGCTCTCTCGTGGGGCCAGCTGCTCTCCAGGAGGGGAGCGGGAGAGCTAACTCTTCCCTCTGTGCTCCGAGGCCAGGCGGGCGACTTTCCACCCCTGGCTGCAGTCCCCTGACAAGCCCAGAGACTGCTGCCTGGCACTCAGTGCCCAGCCAGGCAGTGCGGAAGCCCCAGGGAGTCATGGAGACACACACCCGGTCTGGCGGCCAGGCGGGGCCCCGCCTGGCAGGTCCCTCCGTGTGATCCGGGGGCTCTGGGATCTCGGGGTCACACAGCACAGCAGGTGCTGTCCGTACGGAAGCAAGGACTGGAGGTGCCCCTGGTGCGGCCGGGGCAGTGGCACCGTGTGCTCCGCGGGGGAATGGGCCTGGCAGGTCCGCTCTCCCTGGCCGCTGGGCGCCGGGTCCGCAGCAGCTTGTCCCTCCGGCGGGGGAGGGGCTGGGAGACGCCCCCTTCCTGAGGCTCCTCATCCTCTCTCCAGACACCGTGCTGTGCAGGTGCCCAGCTCAGCCTCCACAGCCTGGGCGCCGCACAGTCCTGACTTGTGCTGGGGTCCCCACGGGAGAGCCACACCCGCTGTTGGGTTTTCGGATGAAGTGGGGTGTCCAGCTGACTTGGCCTCTCGTCCTCAGCAGGGAGGCCCGCAAGCCTAGGCCAGCAGAGCTCAGCCGCATGAGTGCAGCCCAGAGACAGAGACTGCTGTGAGTGTACCCTGACCCCAATGTTCTGTCTGCCGCCCCAGCCTCCCTGCGCTCCCCGCCTCCGGTGCCCCAGCCTCCCCGCCCCAGCCTCCCCGGGCTCCCCAGCCTCCTGTGCCCCAGCCTCCCCGGGCTCCCCTGTCTCCCCGCCCCAGCCTCCCCGGGCTCCCCTGCCTCCTGTGCCCCAGCCTCCCCGCACTCCCCTGCCTCCTGTGCCCCAGCCTCCCCGCCCCAGCCTCCCTGCCCCAGCCTCCCTGGGCTCCCCAGCCTCCTGTGCCCCAGCCTCCCTGGGCTCCCCCGCCTCCTGTGCCCCAGCCTCCCTGGGCTCCCCTGCCTCCTGTGCCCCAGCCTCCCTGGGCTCCCCTGCCTCCTGTGCCCCAGCCTCCCCGGGCTCCCCAGCCTCCTGTGCCCCAGCCTCCCCGGGCTCCCCTGCCTCCTGTGCCCCAGCCTCCCCGGGCTCCCCAGCCTCCCTGCACTCCCCAGCCTCCCCGCGCTCCCCTGCCTCCGGTGCCCCAGCCTCCCACCTCCTGCAGGGATGCCAGGGCTTCCTGAGGCTCTGTACCTAAGCCCTGGTCTTACATTTGGGCTCTAGAGGTGGTCGCTCTTCCGGTCCTCTTTCAAGAGAGGAGTTAGAGCTGCTGTTCCTCAGGAGGCCAGTGCTCCCCAGGACTGTGGCTGTGACAGGGCTTCCTCTCACTGTCTCTGAGAGCAGGGCCGGCCCCACCCCAGAGGAGGTGGCCAGCAGGGCTGCGAGTGAGACCGAGACCCCAGCCTGCCTCATGGCAGCCGAGAGGAGCAGTGTGGTCAGGACTTCCGAGGCCGGGCGGGGTCAAGGCTCACCCCAGGGCCTTTGCAGCCGGCCGCGGTTCCCCGCCCGCCCCGGTCGCCTTCACCCCTGGCGTCTGTTGTCTGCGGGGCCTCTCTGGGTCCCTTGAGCCCGAGGGCGGCACTGGCTGGAGCCCGGAGCGCTGTGCTTCCTGTCAGCCTGGCTCCTGCGCACACTCTCCTGTCTCGTCTATGTGGCCTCACTGCGGGGAAAGTGCCCGTTACGTAAGGCCCAGTGCCCGCGGCACGTGTGGCCACTGGTCCCCGTCCTCAGCTAGGCAGCGGCCCTTGTCAGCCTCCTCTGTGGCCCGAGTCCCGTGGTGGTACCAGACCGTGTTGTCACTCCGGTGTAAGGTACCTGGGCATGGGGTCGCTGACTGCCGGCCTCAGTGCCGGGTCCTCCCCATCTGCTGACCTCTGGCCTCCCTCTTTCAGCGAAGAAGAAAGGATCCGGTTTCAGGAGCTTCTGGCCAGCCCGGCCTATAGAGCCAGCCCCCTGCTGGCCATCGGGCAGCAGCTAGCTCAGCAGATGCATCTGGAAGGTGGTAGCCGGTTCTGACCAGGTGATGTGTACGCCATGAGCCCCAAGGGACCCTGAGAGGGGCCATATCCTCTGGATTGTTCTTTGAGCCTGGTGAACACCCCCTATCCAGCACAGAGCCTCTTGGTAATAAAGTGCCTTATGGACCCGTCCCCTGTGACCCCAGGACCTTCCCATGGTTTGCTTCTGCTTCAGAGCCACCCTGGTCTTCTCCTCCTTGAGCTCACCCTGGGGTGGGGGCTCATCCCCTAGGCTAGACACCCAAGGTAGAGAGAGCAGGTGGTGGTTGACCTGGTAGATTGGGGAGTGCACCCGCAAAACTGGTGCCCGTCAATCCCCACTGGCCTGCGCAGCAGCAGCACCCTCCCAAGACCTCCATGAGGCCCCCAGCCATGTTGGGAAGGGAGTCCTGCTCGCCGCCCTGCCTGCAGGAAGTGCTCCCGGGCTGGGCCGCTGTGTGACTGCTCCAGCCTTGGCCGTCCTCATCCGGGTCCCTGCGTGGCCCCTGCTCCTTCCCCTCCTGGTCCCCTCTCCACCCAGCTCCCCCGAGCCTCCGTCATGGCTGCCCTCGGCCAGCCACCACCCCTTGAGGGCTTCCAGCCTGCAATGAGATACAGAGCAGGCCTGGCCTGGAGCCGCTTGGCTCATCTAGGTATTAGACACGGGTTTGGAGATGGGAGATTGGCCATTAGGCTCCATAATCAGGGTGTGGGGGGTGAGGAGCAGCGCCCCCAGCCCCCGGGCTCACCCGTCCCTGTGCTGCGCAGGGGCCAGAGAAGGGAGCAGCTGTGGGTGGGGTGAGGGCGGTCCAGGGCCTCCCACAAGGACCTTGGGAGGGCAGTGTGGCCTCCTTCCTGGGCACTGTGTCAGCCGCCCAACTCCATGTCCAGCGTGTGTGATTCACCCTCACAGAGGAGACACGGCGCAGACACACGCAGACTCGATCTCTACACACTTAGCCCCTTGTGGATAGAGCAGCCGTCCTCTGGAGTTCCTGACAAACCCACGTGTAAGTGGGACACAGCCTGTCCGGAAGCCGGAGGCAGATGGCGATGACCACTGCATGCTCCTCTGCAGAGCCCAGGGCCGCTTGGGATGTGCTGGTTGTGTGCAGGCCGGTGGGGGAGGCGAGCGAACTGGTAGCAGATCCGAGTGGACCACTGTGGATTTTGTGTGTTTTCTGGTCTTTGTAGGATAACATGAATGACTTGGCAATAAACAAGCGGGAAAGTGCTGCAGTGTGCCGGTTTTCATGCTGCTTAGGCTCTGGAGCCTAGTCGGTGTTCTGGTCGAAAGGTTACACAGCAGACAAAAGCCCCCTGGAGCGCAGCAGGGCCGCCTGCCCGTGGAGGGGAGGCAGTGTCCTGTGCTGGGTGGCGGCACGCAGCATTAAGCACAGGTGTCCCCTGCATGTAGGGTTCAGGGGAGAACGCACAGCCCTTGTGCATCTCCAGCAGGGGCACGTGCCTGGGGACGGGAAGGGGGGGACGGCTGCCTGCAGCACCTCCCGGGGGAACGAGAATGGGGAGGGGGATGAGGAGAACAGGGTGGGGATGGCTGCCCCACAGCGAGGCCTGCAGCACCTCCCGGGGGAACGACCGGGGGGGGGGGGGGGGGGGGGGGGATGAGGACAGGGTGGGGATGGCTGCCCCACAGCGAGGCCTGCAGCACCTCCCGGGGGAACGATGTGGGGGGGGGATGAGGAGGACGGGGGGGGGGGGGGGGATGGCTGCCCCACAGCGAGGCCTGCAGCACCTCCCAGGGGAACGACGACGGGGGGGGGGGGGGGGGGGGGGCGGGGGGGGGGGATGAGGAGGACAGGGTGGGGATGGCTGCCCCACAGCAAGGCCTGCAGCACCTCCCAGGGGAACGACAGGGGGGGAGGGGGATGAGGAGGACAGGGTGGGGATGGCTGCCCCACAGCGAGGCCTGCAGCACCTCCCGGGGGAACGATGTGGGGGGGGATGAGGAGGACGGGGGGGGGGGGGGGGGGATGGCTGCCCCACAGCAAGGCCTGCAGCACCTCCCAGGGCCAGGTTCCCAGCCCTCAGTGTAGAGGGACGGTGAACCTTGTTTTTGGTCAGTTGTGGGGCTTGAACTCTGGCCTGGGCTCTGGCCCTGAGGGGCGTTTTTAGCCACTTTGAGCCACAGCACCACTTCCATTTTTCCAGTGGTTAATTGGAGATAAGTCTCGTGGACTTTCCGGCCCGGGCTGGCTTTGAACCATGATCCTCTGCGTGGTTGGGATTGCAGGTGTGAGCCGCTGGTGTGCCTTCAGGGGTGTAGTGGAGGGGGGTTAGGTCTGGCCTTCCCCTCCCCGCGGGCTCCTGACTGGGCGCCCCTGCCGCCCCACAGCAGCCACGGACTGAAAGCTCGCTTCCTTTTCTCCTTCGTTCGTCCTCACGGACGATTTATCACAGAGGCAGGAGCCCCCCTTGGCAGCCCGAGAGCGCTTTGGCCCGCTGGGGCCTTCCCTACGTGGGCTCTGCCGGCGTGGCAGTTCTGTGGAGCTGTGTGGCTGGCCCCAGGACTGCATTGGCCCTGCGTGTGTGCGTGTGTGCGCACACGTGTGCGAGGAATGCAGCCAAGCGCCTGCTTTGCCCACCTGTGTGCAGGGGATGGGCCATGGGGGTGCCGTCAGAACCCGGGGTTTCTTCCTGTCACCACCCAGAGGTGAGCGCTGAACATGTGGGCACAGTGGGGGCCAGCCCTCCCTCTGCGCCCCACGCCCTGGGTGTGGCCACGTGGCTTCTCTCCCTGGCTCTGCGGCCACCAGGGTGCCCTGTCTCCTACAGGGCACCAGGCAGTGGGTGTGGGTGCCCTGCTCCAGGGGACCCCATTTTCTAATGTTTGTGTTGTGAGCCGAGCGCTGGGTCTACAGGCACAGGCTACACCTGGCACTGCCTGATCCCAAACACATCCTCAGAGTCTCCATCCCAGACTTTTCCTCAGCCCTTAGTAGACATCTGGTCTGGGCATTTGGGACAGTTTCAGACTCCTTTCCTCCTGGTGATTAGAGGGTGCATGTGTGGTCAATTGAGCTCTGTTGGGGGCGGGTGGCGGAGATGACAGGGACACAGGACATGTCCACAGGGGAGGTGGAGGCCCAGGGAGGGAGGCTGAGGACGTGTGCACGGCAGAGGCAGAGGTGGAGGCCCGGGGAGGGAGGCTGAGGGCGTGTGCACAGCAGGGGCAGAGGTGGAGGCCCGGGAAGGGAGGCTGAGGGCGTGTGCACAGCAGGGGCAGAGGTGGAGGCCCGGGGAGGGAGGCTGAGGGCGTGTGCACGGCAGAGGTAGAGGTGGAGGCCCGGGGAGGGAGGCTGAGGACGTGTGCATGGCAGAGGCAGAGGTGGAGGCCCGGGGAGGGAGGCTGAGGGCGTGTGCACGGCAGAGGTGGAGGCCCGGGGAGGGAGGCTGAGGACGTGTGCACAGCAGGGGCAGAGGTGGAGGCCCGGGGAGGGAGGCTGAGGACGTGTGCACAGCAGGGGCAGAGGTGGAGGCCTGGGGAGGGAGGCTGAGGACGTGTGCACAGCAGAGGCAGAGGTGGAGGCCCGGGGAGGGAGGCTGAGGACGTGTGCATGGCAGAGACAGAGGTGGAGGCCCGGGGAGGGAGGCTGAGGGCATGTGCACAGCAGGGGCAGAGGTGGAGGCCCTGGGAGGGAGGCTGCGATCAGGAGCTGAGGCTGGGAGGTAGAGCTTGGGGTGAGGGCTAAGCACAGCTATGGACAGGCCAGGGCCGCCCTCTCTCAGGGCTGGCCCTGGGGTCCTTTCCTTCGGCATTCTGCAGCGCCCATGCTGGCATTCTGGGTGCCGGTGGGTCTGTGCCATTGCGTGCTTCTCGGCCCGCTGGACGGTTTCTGAGCACCGAGGTCTCTGCAGGCGCCCAGCGTGCACCGTGGCACATGCCTGAGTGGCTGCAGAGTCATGAACCAGGCGGGCGCGGCCCCGGCACCGCCTCCATCTGCTTAGGAGTCCCCTGGGCGGGAACGGGTGGCCGGGCAGGAGCGCACCCCGGCTGCCTGTGGGTGCCGAGTGGACCGGTCCCCAGCTGTCCCGGGCAGGCCACGCAGAGGGGTGGTGCTGGCTTCGTGTGTCGCCGTGTGTGCCCCGCTGAGTTGGAGCGTGGGACCGTCCCCAGAGCCGTCCACAAGCCAAGTGTTGAGCAAACACCCGGTGTGTTGCTTCTGGAATGTTTCTCACACGGTGATAGCATTGCTCTGAAGCGGGAGGTGCTGGGGCCTCTCAGGCCTGGTCTGCCCGTGGCTGTGGGCAAGGAAGGCCCAGCCCTGTGTCCCGGCTCCAGGGCCGCTATCAGCCTGTGCTTCCAGGATGTCGGGGAGCCGGCTGGCTGCTGGAGATAGTGGGGGCTGGAACCCCGCCATTTCCTTTGAAGCCCGGCCCTTAAGGCCCGAGACCCTGGCTCCTGACCAAGATCCTATACCTTATTTTAAACTCACTGCATTTTCTTCTTCCAAAGAAACTAAGGTGATGTAAGTTGAAATGATAATTACACCCTAGTACTGATTTAGACTTAACCACAGAAGAGTAACGATTTTAAAGCCTTCATTCCACCTTTTGGGGGAATGAAAATTTTAAATTTTTGATAGAACATTACTCAGAAAGTGAGCCCTTGTTTTCCAAACTTGTTTCTTCCCAATAATGCAGATACTACGACTGCTTGTCCCGCAGGCCTGCCCGGTGCCCATCCCCACCCCAGCGAGTGCCCTCTGCCCGCCTCCCAGCCCTTCCCCACCCCAGCGAGTGCCCTCTCCTACCTACATCCCAGCCCTTCCCCACCCCAGCGAGTGCCCTCTGCCCGCCTCCCAGCCCTTCCTCACCCCAGCGAGTGCCCTCTGCCCACCTCCCAGCCCTTCCTCACCCCAGCGAGTGCCCTCTGCCCGCCTCCCAGCCCTTCCCCACCCCAGCGAGTGCCCTCTGCCCACCTCCCAGCCCTTCCCCACCCCAGCGAGTGCCCTCTGCCCACCTCCCAGCCCTTCCTCACCCCAGCGAGTGCCCTCTGCCCACCTCCCAGCCCTTCCTCACCCCAGCGAGTGCCCTCTGCCCACCTCCCAGCCCTTCCTCACCCCAGCGAGTGCCCTCTGCCCACCTCCCAGCCCTTCCTCACCCCAGCGAGTGCCCTCTGCCCGCCTCCCAGCCCTTCCCCACCCCAGCGAGTGCCCTCTGCCCACCTCCCAGCCCTTCCTCACCGCAGCGAGTGCCCTCTGCCCGTCTCCCAGCCCTTCCCCACCCCAGCGAGTGCCCTCTGCCCACCTCCCAGCCCTTCCCCACCCCAGCGAGTGCCCTCTCCTACCTACATCCCAGCCCTTCCCCACCCCAGCGAGTGCCCTCTGCCCGCCTCCCAGCCCTTCCCCACCCCAGCGAGTGCCCTCTGCCCACCTCCCAGCCCTTCCCCACCCCAGCGAGTGCCCTCTGCCCACCTCCCAGCCCTTCCTCACCCCAGCGAGTGCCCTCTGCCCACCTCCCAGCCCTTCCTCACCCCAGCGAGTGCCCTCTGCCCACCTCCCAGCCCTTCCCCACCCCAGCGAGTGCCCTCTGCCCACCTCCCAGCCCTTCCCCACCCCAGCGAGTGCCCTCTGCCCACCTCCCAGCCCTTCCCCACCCCAGTGAGCGCCCTCTGCCCACCTCCCAGCCCTTCCCCACCCCAGCGAGTGCCCTCTGCCCACCTCCCAGCCCTTCCCCACCCCAGTGAGCGCCCTCTGCCCACCTCCCAGCCCTTCCCCACCCCAGCGAGTGCCCTCTGCCCACCTCCCAGCCCTTCCCCACCCCAGCGAGTGCCCTCTGCCCACCTCCCAGCCCTTCCTCACCCCAGCGAGTGCCCTCTGCCCACCTCCCAGCCCTTCCCCACCCCAGCGAGTGCCCTCTGCCCACCTCCCAGCCCTTCCCCACCCCAGCGAGTGCCCTCTGCCCACCTCCCAGCCCTTCCTCACCCCAGTGAGCGCCCTCTGCCCGCCTCCCAGCCCTTCCCCACTCCAGCGAGTGCCCTCTGCCCACCTCCCAGCCCTTCCCCACCCCAGCGAGTGCCCTCTGCCCACCTCCCAGCCCTTCCTCACCCCAGTGAGCGCCCTCTGCCCGCCTCCCAGCCCTTCCTCACCCCAGCGAGTGCCCTCTGCCCGCCTCCCAGCCCTTCCCCACCCCAGCGAGTGCCCTCTGCCCGCCTCCCAGCCCTTCCCCACCCCAGTGAGCGCCCTCTGCCCGCCTCCCAGCCCTTCCCCA